AATTTGGACCCAGACACAGAGGGAAGATAATGTGAAGACACTGAGAGGAGACAGCCATCTACAAACCCAGGAGAGAGGCCTCAGAAGGAACCCATGCTGCCAACACCTTGATCCTGGATTTCCAGCCTCCAGAAAGGTGAGAAAAGAAATGTCTGTTGTTAAAGCCACTCAGTCTACGGTATTTCTTATGGCAGCCTGAGCCAGCTCCCACAGTGTGAGTCATGAACTAGACTAGTGGAATTCATACTTTTTGACTACACCCAACAGTAACAAATTTATTTTGCATCGTGATCCCAAATGAGCATGCACGTTGGAAACCGAAGCACCACTTTCTCTTACGATGTGCAAGCCTCTCTCACCTTTTGCATGTTTTTATTTTATTCTATTTTTTTTTTTCCCAAAACTGACACTGTGACTCACTAAATTATTATCAACAATGGGTCACCACCGGGTGGGTCCCAGAGTTTGACCTAACAGCAGGTGATGAGTCTGTGTCATGTAGGAACCAAGACAGGGCGACAGGCAAGGACTGGGGAAGTGGACGTTTGCTCAGGGAAGACTCCCTTCTCCTGGTGCAGTGACCTACATTACAGCCCTTCCCTTCTTTCTTCTCAAAATTGATTTTGCCCTCTCCATACAGCTAAACTATGAAATTCTGGTGTGTGGGTTAATGCTCGGTGCACCTGTGTTGCGGTGGACATGGCATCTGGGGCTATCCTCTTCCTATTTGTAACCTGATCTTGCTTTGGGGCGATCTCGTTTCCTCTGACGTGTGATTTTGGGGGAGGTGGTGGCATATTCTCACCCATATTCCCTCTCCCCACCTCTGCCGCCACCAGCAGGCAGCACGTGGCTCACACTGCCTGAAAGAGCCTGTCCCCGGTGCTTTGCCTCCAAATCAGGAGCCCCAGGGACAGGGGTGGGGGTAGAGGTCACTCTCATCCCCAAAGCCACTGGCCTAGCCTGCCCCTTTGTGCTGTGCCCTGGCCCCCCAGTGCCACACATAGCACGTCCCTGAGCCCCAGAGAGCCTACTGATACCATCTGTTTTCTCTCTCTCCCTGTCAAGGGCAGTTTCTGTTGTTTGCAACCGAGATTCTGACTGCTACCGATAGGTACATTTAAATGGAATCCTTGAAAATACCAACATCTCCCACCACACCCCAGAGTAGGTCCTTTGTGGGTTGCAAGTTACACTAGAGAGATCTGGTGGGGCGTTGGAGTGGGCTTAACATGTTGCCCTAAACTTAATCTAGATTAAACACTGGCCACATCAAGAAAACAAAATGAACAGCTGCATATCACAGGTAAGCAAGCTCTGTTCTCTGTACGGAGGAGGGGAGGATAGCAGACACTTCCCGCCCGCCTCTCAGAAGCAGCCAGGTGCGAGGCCCCCAAAGCCTCGCTCCAGCGGTGCAAGGTGCCTCTTGCCAAGGGAAAAAGCACTTGTTGGCTTTCCTGAATTTGTGCATTCATCTAGAGTGCAGTGGGCAAACCAGCGCCTCCAAGCCACATCTGGCGGGACGCCTGTTTTTGTAAATAGAGCTTTATTGGGTCCCAGCCACACTTGTTGGATTACATGTTGTCTCTGGCCGCCTTCCTGCCCCCAGGGCAGAGTTGAGCAGCTGCCTCAGAGACGGCCCAGCTGCAAAGCTGAAAATATTTACTACCTGGCTCTCGACAGGAAAACGGTCGCGTCTTCTGACGGAGGGCAGAAATACCCAAATAGGCTGGGAGACGGCGTGGACTGTCCTCCTGGGTATCCAGCCCCCATATCACTCCTAATTTCTTCCTGTCCATTATTTTAATTTAAAATTTTATTTTAGCTTCTAAATGAGTAGTAAATTTCATGTGGTTCAAATCAAAATTAAATCAATGTAAAAAGCCCTGCTTCTTCGCCTCCCCAACAAACACCGTGTTCCAAGAAATGCCAAGCCTGAAGAAGAATGAAGGTAAGTCTGAAATCTTCAGAGGCCCAAGGAAGACTCTGGAATCTCTCGGAGTAAATATAAACCTCCCAGGTCAGAGCATTATTGTCTCTGAATGACTGTGACTTTCCAGAGATGCTGGGCCAGGGGATAGTCAGTTTTGGAGCGCTTTAAGAATCACGATACGAGCTTGGTAACAATGCACATTGAGAGTGCACCTCAAGCCCAGATTTTGGTTTCCAGCAGTTTCCAATAAATAGAACCAGGGCTCCTTGGAGAAATGGCTCATTATAGGACAAAGGGCAGGAAGATACAGGATAATCGTGGCGCACCTTATAGTGCCAGAAAGTAAGGAAATAATAAAAATAAAATAAAATAATAAAAAAGCAAAAACCGTGTAGACTGCTCATGCCTGTAATCCCAGCACTTTGGGAGGCTGAGGCAGGAGGATTGCTTGAGCCAGAAGTTTGAGGCCAGCCTGGGCAACATAGCGAGACCCCATCTCTACAAATAAAATTAGCCAGGCAGGATGGTGCTGTTATCAACTGAAGGGCCACATTCCTGTACTCATGGTATCTGATTGATGGTCTCTCTGTTACATATTTTGAACATCATCAGATACAAACCCTTGGCTTTTTCTCCCCCTCCCTTCCAGGACACTTAACAGTGGCCTTCAGTGGGCTTCAGACTTGACATCAGGTGGCTTCAGGCTTGAAATGACTGAGATGGAAAAATAAGCTAAATATCTCCAGACATTCCAGCTATATACGGCTAGCTGAAATCTGTTCTTTGGCTTTTCTACCATAAGGTATACTCTTGGGCCTAAGAGTCCAGCATTCAGCAAGTCAGTCAGAGAACGCCCATAGTGATATGAAAAATTCTCTCTCTCATTATGATCAAATAAATGCAAATTATAATAATTATATATACCACTTTTCTATTAGATAGTAAAAAATAAGGCCAGGCATGGTGGCTCACAGCTGTAATCTCAGTACTTTGGGAGGCCGAGGTGGGAGGATTGCTGGAGGTCAAAAGTTTGAGACCAGCCTACACAAAAAGTAAGACTCCATCTCTAAAAAAACAAAAAAAATTTTGCCGGGTGCAGTGACTCACGCCTGTAATCCCAGCACTTTGGGAGGCCGAGGCAGGCGAATCATCAGGTCAGGAGATTGAGACCATCCTGGCTAACATGGTGAAAACGCGTCTCTACTAAAAATACAAAAAATTAGCTGGGTATGATGGTGGGCACCGTAGTCTCAGCTACTCAGGAGGCTGAGGCAGGAGAATCGCTTGAACCCTGGAGGCGGAGGTTGCAGTGAGCCGAGATCGCATCACTGCACTCCAGCCTGGGTGCAGAGCAAGACTCTGTCTCAAAAAAACAAAACAAAACAAACAAAAATCCCCCCAAAAAATCAAAGAAAAAAGAGTGGGGGAGGGGGAGGCTCCAAGCACACTCAAGGAGCAAAGGCCTCCAGTTTTCCCAAGCTATTGGTCTCAAAATTCACAGAAGAGGATCCTTGTGATTTGTTTTGTTTTGTGATTTGTTTGAGCACCTCATAAAGTCCTTTTAGACGAGACTCTGGTGAAATGGACATGAGCCCAGGACGAATCCCCTCCCACCTCCCCTCAGTCTGATGAAATCTGTGGAATTCCTTCCCCAACTCTTCATTTTCCAGCCAACCCTGACTCCCACCTTTCACAGGGTAGGTCCACATGGACAGTCTGAGGCACCCTACCTCATCCTGGCATCTGGTCCCACTTCATAGAGTAGGTGCTTGGATATTTTAGCCAGGCGCGGTGGCTCACGACTATAATCCCAACATTTTGGGAGGCCGAGGTGGGTGGATCACTTGAGGCCAGGAGTTTCAGACCAGCCTGGCCAACATGGTGAAACCTTGTCTCTGCTAAAAATATAAAAATTGGCTGTGTATGGTGGCGTACACCTTTAGTTTCAGCTACTCGGGAGGCCGAGGCGGGAGAATCACTGGAACCTGGGAGGCAGAGATTGCGGTGAGCCGAGATCGCACCACAGCACTCCAGCCTGGGTGACAGAGCAAGACCGTGTCTCAAAAAAAATTAAAAAAAA